TTTTTGAGACGGAGTCTCGCTCTGTTGTCCAGGCTGGAGTGTAGTGGGACAATCTCGGCTTACTGCAGTCTCTCCTTCCCGGGTTCAAGTGAGTCTCCTGCCCCAGCCTTCCAAGTTGGAAGCAGCCTGGTGGCTCACTTGTAATCCCAGGAACAGCACTGCAGCCTGGACAACAGAGCAAGAGCCTATCTCAAATAAAAATAAATAAATAAAATGTGATTCAGTTTTTGAAGTCTGAGTACCAGAGGAGATAGTCTTTAAGTGTTTCTGTTATTGCTAGAATCATTCTGATAAAATGTATTTTCAGGCAATTTTATTGAAAAGAGTATTTTAGATGATGGGATAATCTTAATCAGAGTCACTTAGATCATTTAGATTCAGCTTACATTTATCATTTATGGTACTTTTGTTTTTTTGAGACAAAGTCTTGCTCTGTTGCCCAGGCTGGAGTGTGTTGGCACAATCTCAGCTCACTGCAGCCTCCGCCTCCAGGTTCAAGTGATTCTCCAGCCTCAGACTCTCAAGTAGCTGATACTACAGGCATGTGCCACCATGCCCAGCTATTTTTTGTTTTGTTTTTAGTAGAGACAGGATTTCACCATGTTGGCCAGACTGGACTCGAACTTCTGACCTCAGGTGATCCACCCGCGTTGGCCTCCCAAAGTGCTTGGGATTACAGGCTTGAGCCATCCCACCTGGCCCAATGAAACATAGTCTTATTTTAGTCAGACATTGGCTTACTAATTTTAAATTTGTGAAAAATCTCAAATAGAGTTCTAACTAAGATGCTTGCTAATTGTTGATTTATTTACATTTAAATAATCTTAGGTGGCAGATGCATGTTCATGGGCACTGAGGTGGCAAAGAATAAAGTAGTTCCTACTTTTGAGAAACATCCTAGTGTTGGATAAGGCCTATAGGCAATTGTACTATAGTGTGATAAGTATTGTAACAGTTATTTACAAAGAAAGTGCTGTGTGAACATAGAAGAGAGAGTGATTATTTTCGCCAAGAGGTTTCACAGATTTTTAAGCTGGATCAGAGTATGAGGAGAGTTTGCTGAGCTTAAAGGCTTGTGGGCTGGAGGTGAAAAAACACTGAACACTGAAAAAAATTTTATTTTTTTTGAGATGAAGTTTTGCTCTGTTGCCCAGGCTAGAGTACAGTGGCACATTCTTGGCTCATTGCATCCCCCAGGTTCAAGTGATTCTCCCGCCTCAGCCTCCTCCCTCAGTAGCTGGGATTACAGGCGCACGCCACCACACCCGGCTTATTTTTGTATTTTTAGTAGAGATGGGGTTTCACTGTGTTGGTCTCACTGGTCTCCAACTCTTGACCTTGTGATCTCCCTGTCTTGGTCTCCCCAAGTGGTAGGATTACAGGTGTGAGCCACTGCACCTGGCCTAAACATTGAAATTTTGAAGTTACCTGAATTTGGGCCCATTTTCGGCTACTAAAGTGTCATGATGTTGCTATGTAGTAATATTAATAGTTGTGGTCTGTTTCTCAGTTCTATATCCCTGCTTTGAATTGCTTATTGAATTAATGTCTCCCTTTTGGCTCAGTCATTGTCATCCTCCTGTCCCCAATAAAAAACAAAAATTAGGAATATAATTTCAGTGCTGTCAGTGCACATGGCACTTAATTCCTACATGTTTTAAGGCAAAGCATAGAACACATTAAGGGGTAGCAGACACTATGCAAACCTGGAACATATGCAGAAAATAATAAGGAAAGCTAAGAGTAGAGAGTTTTTAAGTACAGAGCCAAGAATTCAGACTTTTTGCTCTACCATGATCCTGGCTCAGAGCTTTGTCGCCTTATGTGCACTAATTTGTGGGTCTCTGTTGATGATCTCTTCTTTTCCCCTCACTGCCTTTATTAATAATGAAGTTACAAGCTCCTGAAGGCTATGCAATGTTTTCTTTATACAAAAGGCATGGTACTTTTGACCTTGACTTCCCAATAATCAGTACTCAGTGGACGTTTAAGATTGACTCTTCCACTGATACTAAAATTTATATTTCTTATTTTAATTGGGATTCTCCATTTAGCATTGCATTTAGATTACTATCTTAGATGAAATGGTTTGGTGAAGGATCTTATTTGCTTTTTTGTGTTTAAGATTTGTTCTGTTTCTAGTTCTTTGCTTCTGTGGTTATAACTGCGACAGTTGTATTTATTCTTGTTTCTCAGAAGGCTTTTATAAATCAAAACTATTTTATTTATTTTTTTTTTTTTTTCATGACAGTGAAGATAGCACTGTATCCATCCAGATAAAATTAGAAAATGAAGGCAGTGATGAAGATATTGAAACTGATGTACTGTATAGTCCACAGATGGCTCTAAAGCTAGCCTTAACAGAATGGTTGCAAGAGTTTGGTGTGCCTCATCAGTACAGCAGTGAGTTTGACCATTGTTTATTAAGGGGGTTAGCTGTAGGCCCAGCTACTTGGGAGGCTGAGGCAGGAGAATTGCTTGAACCCGGGAGACGGAGGTTGCAGTGAGCCGAGATTGCACCACTTGCATGCCAGCCTGGGTGACAGAGTGAGACTCCATCTCAAAAAGAACACTGCTGTGTGCCTTATCTTAGGTCCATTAAGCAAAGTGAAATTAAATGAAATTGGGGGAATCTAGAAAATAAGGTTTTTTAAATCTTACTTTCGGTCTTAAATAGCTTTTATCTTGATGGAATGCTGATTTCTCTTAAAAAGGCTGGGCAAGGTGGCTCACGCCTGTAATCCCAGCAGTTTGGGAGGCTGAGACAGGCAGATCACAAGGTCAGGAGTTCAAGACCAGCCTGACCAAGATGGTGAAACCTTGTCTCTATTAAAAATACAAAAAAATTAGCTGGGCGTGATGGTGCGTGCCTGTAGTTCCAGCTACTCGGGAGGCTGAGGCAGAAGAATCGTCTGAACCCAGGAGGCGGAGGTTGCAGTGAGCTGAGATTGCGCCACTGCACTCCAGCCTGGGCAACAGAATGAGACTCCCATCTTTTTTGAAGTAATTTAAGTGTTTTTGAATACAAATTTTTAAAAGAGAATGTAATAATAGATGTTGGCATGTTTATTACCTCCCAGCCCCCTTCCATTCCTGCATCCCTAGTGATGTAGAGAAATCTCATTTTTCTTAGAGCTCAAATTAATTTGGATCTAAAATCGAGGTTCCACTTAACAAATATGATAAGAACGCATCTTTCTGAATCTAATGTGTTCTGTCTCTAATTCTGATTATCTCTGTGACCATTTTATTTATTTATATGTTTCTTTTTGTAGGTAGGCAGGTTGCACACAGTGGAGCTAAAGCAAGTGTAGTTGATGGGACTCCTTTAGTTGCAGCACCCTCTTTAAATGCCACAACTGTAGTAACAACAGTTTACCAGGAGCCCATTATGAGCCAGGGAGCAGCCTTGAGTGGTGAGCCTACAACTTTGACCAAGGAAGAAGAAAAGAAACAGTCTGATGAAGAACCCATGGACATGGTGGTGGAAAAACAAGAAGAAACGGACCACAAGAATGACAATCAAATACTGAATGAAATTGTCGAAGCAAAAATGGCAGAGGAATTGAAACCAATGGACACTGATAAAGAGAGCATAGCTGAATCAAAATCCCCAGAGATGTCCATGCAGGAAGATTGTATCAGCGACATTGCTCCTATGCAAACTGATGAACAGACAAACAAGGAGCAGTTTGTGCCAGGTCCAAATGAAAAGCCTTTGTACACTGCGGAACCAGTGACCCTGGAGGATTTGCAGTTACTTGCTGATCTGTTCTACCTTCCTTATGAGCATGGACCCAAAGGAGCACAGATGTTACGGGAATTTCAATGGCTTCGAGCAAATAGTAGTGTTGTTAGTGTCAATTGCAAAGGAAAAGACTCTGAAAAAGTAAGTATGTTTAATTTACCTTGCTGCTGAAGCCTGGGTGGTTCCCCATACTGGTAATGTGGAGAAGGTTCTTAAATGAGTATACTGTAACTGATAGAAAATTGGCCATGTTTTAGAATATGTTATTTATTTAATAGAGATGAGATTTCTCCATGTTAGTCAGGTTGGTCTCGAACTCCAACCTCAGGTGATCCGCCTGCCTTGGTGTTGTGGTGGCTCACGCCTGTAATCTCAGCACTTTAGGAGGCCAAGGCAGGCGGATCACCTGAGGTCTGTGGTTCAAGACCAGCCTGGCCAACATGACGAAACCCCATTTCTACTAAAAATACGAAAAATAGCTGGGCGTGGTGGCAGGCCACCTGTAATCCCAGCTACTCCGGAGGCTGAGGCAGGAGAATCGCTTGAACCCAGGAGGCAGAGTTTGCAGTGAGCTGAGATTGCACCATTGCACTCCATCCTGAGCAACAGAGAGAGACGTTTGTCTACAAAAATGACAAATAAATAAAATTTTTTTTAAAAAGTATTTTTTGTCGTTGTTGGGTTTTTTGAGACAATTACCCTCCTGTCACCCAGGCTGGAGTACAGTGGTACAATCTCAGGTCACTGTGAGCTCCATCTCCTGGGTTCAAGCTCCTGAGTAGCTGTGATTACTGGTGCCTGCCACCATGCCTAGCTAATTTTTGTATTTTTAGTAGAGATGGGGTTTCACCATCTTGGTTAGGCTGGTCTTGAACTCTTGAGCTCAGGCAATCCACCTTCCTTAGCCTCCCAAAGTGCTAGGATACAGGTGTGAGCCACCATGCCTGGCCAAGGATATGTTCTTTAAAGTGGATGTAGACTCTGCTAAATCTGGTACCTTCAGTATGATAGTTTGGCCCACTAGTTAAGAATGAGGAAAAGTCAGTGTTGATTATTTTAGGAATATTTGTCAGTTTGGGGAGATACAAGGTGATACTTTAATGGTTAGGACAAAATTGCCAGTACTTGATAACTTAAACAGCTTAATGAATAACTGTGTCTCAGATTATTTTGTTAAATTTGCAACTTTTTGAGTCTTTTTATTGATGTTCATAGATTGAAGAATGGCGGTCACGAGCGGCCAAGTTTGAAGAGATGTGTGGACTAGTGATGGGAATGTTCACTCGGCTCTCCAATTGTGCCAACAGGACAATCCTTTATGACATGTACTCCTATGTTTGGGATATCAAGAGTATAATGTCTATGGTGAAGTCTTTTGTACAGTGGTTAGGTAGGTGCACCAGGAATAATCTCTTCTCCTCAAATATATTGTCCCTTAAAAAAAAATTATCCCACAGGGAGAAAAACATTTAGGGAATTGGCACTTTTACAAGTCTTTTACATTCTTTGCCTAGGTTTCTTTCAAAGGTAGGGATTACTGAAGACTTGAGATGCAAGTCTTAGTAAATACATCAAGCACATTAATTTTTCTCCCTTGGGCTAATTCAGCCTAAGTATCTTAAAAATATGTTAGAAAGTACTGACTTTAACTTGCTCTGACTGAATGCTTTCTGGATGGAGCCCTGTATACCACTTTTACCTGATTTGGAGATGAGACACTATGAAATATGACTCTAAGCTTACTGCTGCTTGTTGTGTCTTGGTAAGGTTAATGCTGTGTTTAACAGAACAATTGCTGAAATGACCTAAGGGGCCTGGCAAGAGGAAGCCATCCTCCCAGCCCTGTGCGCATGCGAGCTTAGTGGAAGGCTATTCTGGTGCTATTCAGTATTATTTCACATGGCTTTTTCTTTATCCTTTTACCAAGTATTGGTTTTACCAGGGGTAGAAATTATAGTCCCCTAAAAATCTCTGCTTTATTAAATGGACTTTTATATGTCTCCTTTGAACGCTAATTTTTTTTTTTTTTTTTTTTTTGAAATTGTCAAACTTGGTAAAAAGCACCAGCATGGCCAAGTTTCTCTAGGGACCCCATTTCATTTTCAGGTTTTCAATCCAGCTATAAGGAATATGTAATGGACTTAACATAACAGCACACAGCAGGCAGCAAGGCTGAGTGACATGTCATAGTTTTCATAGTAGTCACAAATACTATGATGGGTTTCATAGTCTTGATTGTGAAATAGATATCTGAAACACCGTGAGCTTATAGTAAAAAGAGGTAGTAGTGAGATTTTCTGCTTTCCGCCTGTATACCTTTGGGCTCTTGAATATTAAAAAATAACAAATTTCCCTGTGATACAGCTAATTAGTTATATAAAAGTAGAGTCTTCTGATTGTTAATTGTAAAATAAAGAATTTCTTCTGGATTGCTGTATATAACAAGTAGAAGAGAGTATTTTGACTTCTTGTTAAAAGGCTCTGTAGCTCTTGTGCATGGGTGACATCTACCGTTCGGCTCAGACCTCAATATTGGTTGTTGGATGACAGCATTTGCCTTCCAGGCTTCTGCTCAAGTTCTTATAATTAATTCTTATAGGGATTTAAACTTAAATTTCTAAGGCCCTTAGGAATTTTGAACCTGAAATCTGGATTATTGAGCTTGAGACTATATTACAGAAAACGTGATATTCAACCTCTAAGAATTATTAAAAGTTGAATTCTTGATTATACACAGTATTGTTTCTTTCTCTTCTCAGGGTTTATCTCTGCACGAAGCATTTTTGGTGGAAGCTTTCCAAAATTATACAGATAGCTCTTTTACAATCCCAAGCTCTTATAGCAGGCTTGTGCAACCTACACCCAACAGATATTTGTAAACTTTCTTAAAACAGTGTGAGGTGTGTGTGTGTGTGTGTGTTTTCTTTTTAAGCTCATCAGCTATCGTTAGTGTATTTTATGTGTGGCCCAAGACAGTTCTTCCAATGTGGCCCAGGGAAGCTATAACATTGGACACCCCATCTTAGAATGTTTTATAAGTTTTAAATAATTATCTTGGCATCCACATAGCTTTACAAAAGCTCACGACAGTGGTTATGTAGTAATTTCAGGGGTTAACTGATTAGAACCCTTCCTTTTCCTTGTCTCTCCAGTCCAGCTGGCATTCAGTCCTTTAAACAATGTGGCTATGCAGTACTTTTGATTACTAATGACTTCTATTATCTTCTTCCCCATTGTGTACAGATGGGAGAATCCTCAGCACAAGTGTCTACTACTATTGGATGGACAGCGGCAGATGTTCACAGCGCGTCATGATTAATTAGTTTAAATTGAAAGGTTCTGTCTGTGAGGTAGCTCAGGTAGATTTAAGGGCTGTAGACATGAACTGAAGTCACGTTTGCGCAGCGACTGAGGCATTAACCATGTTTTCATTTACACAGCTCTTCGTACATGCAGCTTTTTATTGTAATAGTTGGAAGTGCTAGTTATGTTGTAGTCTCAAAGTGGGGGGTAGGGGAAATTGGCTGATCTTAAAGTTTGAGAGGTATAGTTTTTTCCTGCAGTGTAAATTACACTGAGTTATGGAATGGGACAGGTTCTCTTATAAATTTGGACCCTGTTTCATGTTTTACAAATACTACATTTTATGTTTTTTAAAAGTTACCCCTACCCTTAAAACATGACAAACCAGATATAATCTCTTAGTGGGCCTGAATTGTTAACAGAAAATTGGTTTGCTTTGGGACTGTCTGACTAGCACACTATATCTTGTACTGATGAGACTGTTAACTTGAACAGGAGGTAGAATGCTGTCTTCCAATGGAAAAGAACTATATTGCGCTGCTTTATCTTGTCAGAAGACTAGGCAAGTGATTTTGATTTGGCCTCCAAACATTTGCCTTTAATTATCTCTTATTGTTAGCCAGCTTTATTGCCTAGTAAGTTGGTTAAATGGTGACCTAGATACTGACTTCTGTGTTCCATGTGTATGGTCAGTGCATCGCAAAAATTATTATGGCTGGTCAGAGGAACCAGATACTGTCATACTTTTAAGAAAAGTATGTTTAGCTCTGGACAGAGTAACATCAATTGACTCTCCTTAGTTCTCAGAATCTGTCAGACTGGTATTATTGTTAGCCAAGTCTGATTTTGGATTGTTTTTGTCCAAAAAAATTATTCTCATTGTGTTCATTTTGTCAACTTAATTTCTTTTATTCTGCTGACCTTAGTTTTCTGACAAGATTAATCCTCCTCCCTGCCCTTTTTCCCTTTCCTGCACCCTTCCTCAAAATGTAAAATGTGACTTCAGACAGGTTTAATTCCTTCATGGGCTGTAATAATAAAGTGTCTAATTATCTGTCATTCATTTTATAGTCACTGTAATTTTATGACAGAGCAAGCACCTGGCTTGATTTGTATAGCTATATCTAGGGAATATATAAAGTTGACCCAGACAAACTTGGGACTTACTTTCCTTCCGATAATTACAGAGTAGAACGATAATGCTGATTATTCATTAGTTGGAGGAAGGAACATTAGTATCGAAATGTCATTACTATTTTTAAAAATAATAATTATTATCACAGCCTTGCCCTGAAACCCTGATTATTGTTAGAAAGCTATTTCCACGAAGTGTTTGTCAGTTTGTTGGACATTTGAGACCCCAGGAAATCCCCTTTCTCGTAACATTCTCCGCTTGGATCTGATCTCAACAGGGTGTCGTAGTCATTCTTCAGCACAATTCTTAATTGGAGACCAAGAACCCTGGGCCTTTAGAGGTGGTCTAGCAGGAGAGTTCCAGGTATCAATATGAATTCACAACTGAATTGACATTTTCTTTGTTTTATGAGAAACCTTATGTTGCGCATCAGATGGCTGGAAGGATTGGTCTGCCGAAGGCTTTCTAGTCCCAAATTCAATTTAGTTACATAGCTGGATTTTTAAATCAAATTTTCCTCCTCTTTCACAGTAATTTCTGAAGGAGATGCTGCCAATCCCCCCCGCGCCTGCGAAGCGCAGCGGCTCTAGGTATACACTTCACATTGTTTCTTTGCAGGTCGCACAGCATTTTAATCTGCGCCCGCAATGCACAATGCGCGCATGCTTGTCTGCCAGTGGAAACTCCATGAGCAAAAGATGGTAATTATGCAAATAAATGGTGAAAGAGCTGTTGGATATTTATCCAGTTATTTTATAAACATAATGTGCTTGAAAGAATGTCCGTTAAAATTTGAACAAAATACGAAGGTTTTTTTGCTGTTTGAAGTTGTTCATGGACTTTCTGGGTGCTCTACTTTTCTCCCCCCAACAGGTGCTCTGCTGCGCACAGCAAACTGAAGCGCATTGCTTTGGGGATAAAGCTTCTCCTGGACAGATAACCCTCTTCAGACCAAACCTCTCCTCCTGACATTCTGTTCTGCCATCTTATAGTAGAGAGATGGTCTATCTAAGATAGGTTTAAAAAAAAAAAAAGATTTGTCATGATTGAAATAGGCTTGTTTTTGTTTTTGTTTTTGTTTTTACTGTAAATTTAAATCTCCATTAATATGCTACTAAAGCTGTAACTCAGAGTTGGTAATTTCTATTCAGAAGCACTCCCCTCCCCCAGCAAAGAGGTATTTATATTAGTAAAGCATAGTACATCCCTCTTCTTTAGGTCTGCCTGCAGTAGCCAGTTAATATAAGTTGGTAATCTGCAGTGCACACTCATTTAAAGAAGTGGATACCTTCCCAACACTAATCCATCTCCTTTTTTTCCTTCCCACAGCGTTTGCTGCCAATTGATGGGGCAAATGATCTCTTTTTTCAGCCACCTCCACTGACTCCTACCTCCAAAGTTTATACTATCAGACCATATTTTCCTAAAGATGAGGTAATTGTCTCTTTACCTACCAACTTGATATATGGTTATGGTGCACACTTACAACTTCCCATTGAACTCACTAATGAAAAGAATCCTTCTGTCTTAAAACTACAAACTTTAGATGGAGAAAGTTCACTAAAACATTCAGTGTATCTAGAGAAATTTAAGGAAGAATCTAAGGAGACTTCTAACATCTTGTGCCAAGTTCTTTAATTTCTTCCTTGAGAAAATGAGATGAAATGTGTTGAGAGTTGTAGTTACAGAATAGTTAATGTGTCTAAATTATGTGTTGTCCTTGAGTAGTTTTCTCTAAAACATTAGTGTTCTATAATTTTCAATTGTGAAGTATCTACAGGCTGCTGACAGTTAGCTAAAGTAAAAAAGAAAGACTGTTTAAAGACAGTAATAGGGCCAGGTATGGTGGCTCCCTTCTGTAATCTCAGCACTTCGGGAGGCCGAGGCAGGCAAATCATCTGAGGTCAGGAGTTAGAGACCAGCCTGGCAAACATGGTGAAGTGCCGTCTCTACTAAAAACGCAAAAAAAGAAAAGCCAGGTAAGCCCAGCTACTCTGGAGGCTGAGGCAGGAGAATCGCTTCAGCCCTGGAAACGGAGGTGCAGTGAGCTGAGCACCATTGCACTCCAGTCTGGG